TTCTAGTGTCCATTGGATGCTAATACAGTTTGCGTGTAATATAAATGCCAAGTAACCTGATATGATTTAATTGAATTCTTTGACTTCGTAGTGGATGCGAGTAGTAATCATTCTGAGGCTATTGTCCCACAAATCAATATAAGGCATATAAAAGGTAAGGTAAGGCAAGGTAAATTACAAACAAACCATTCTCAATGAACTTTCCCCTTTCTTACTTCACTAATACCCTTCAATGAATCAACTTGCTACTTTAGACCATTGCCACCTATCATGATTGTGATATACCAACGCGAAAGCTGAGTATATAAGAAAAATCATCAATGTTGCATGTATAGAGTTTTGTAACATTATTACGCATTTACATAAAATGAATATATGAATGTATATGAAAGGGAATTCCACTTAGAAAGATCACACAATTTCTGTGTTATTAGCTTCATTATAAGCAGCATTTTCAATTTAATATACAAAAGAACACCTTCATGGGAAAATGTCACACTCTGACTATTACATCTGCCAGTATATTCCAAACCTACTGTGGTTCTAGGAACATAACAAGTAGACTAAAGTGGGAATATATAGTATATCTAGGAAGCGATCGCCAAGGTCCATCCCAGTCCTGCTCCTGAAAAGCTAACTCAATGAAGATTTCAATCTTATCTTATGTATTTCAAATTTTCATATCAATTAATTGATCTGCTCCAGCAATATATGAGTGTTGTGTCCAAAACCTCCCAGTACATAACCCTTATATATGTCCTGAGAATAATGATGAGTGAACATATAATGGCTAGACCATGACCTTAGATGATGGATGAGAAAAATACATGTATAGTTGTATGTACACATTATATTTCTATTAACTATTGACAGTACAGTCCAATAATTCACTAAACCTTTTCAGTGCATTAATGATAAACCATGATATCTCATTTCTCTACAGCCTTGGGGAAACTGAAAGATGTTATGAGTATCAGAATGCTTTCAGTAGAATACCGATACAAAGTTGAAGATTTTCATGTGATAATTCATAAATTAAATAATTATTTAGAAGTTGACAACTCTGGTTGGCTTGGTGAGCTCAGTCTGGTTTCTCTTAAATTAAGCAGTAGAATTGAAGCCATCTTTTAGGAAGCTATTGTAAGTCAAACAAATGCAAAAGTATCTAAGAACAACTTAGACAAAAAGTCAAAATTCACCAGCTTTAGCATTTGGAAAGTACAATGTATAATGCAGCATTGTAAACTACAACATACTTTGTTGCTAAGGAAATGGGCTGAAGAGGTTTATGGGATGCTACCTCATAAATGACTCTGTCCCAGCTGTGTAGCATTTAACATGTATTTCTGGCAAGGCATTTCACTTAGAAAGTCTGGAAGGAGATACACTGGAGTTTGTTATTTAAGATATATGTTGTAGCACACACATGAAGGCCATTAGAATATCATCGATAGTTTATCAAACATAAAAGTAATGATTAAAAGTATAACGGTTGCTAAGCAAACAATTGGATGAAAATTGACCGATCATTGCAGTTGAGACTTACATGGTAATTGATAAATAACCTATAGCAGTTCATTAATGAAAATGTAATATACTTATCAGATGCGAAAATCATGAAACAGGTACAAGAATGTTAAACAAATATTTTCACCTTGGCCTTAAAGGTAACCATCATACCGATATAGAAACGTTCCAGCCCTCTAAATATGACTTATCCAATCAGTAATAGTATTCCACTTGAAATACACTCCAGGATAGAAATAGTCATGGAAACGATAATAATATGTTCAAATATATTCCCATTTTACATAACCATGGACATAACTTTGCAAAGCAACCCATTATTCTGAAGCGGTGTGAAATATTACAAAAAAGACTTATGTTAACTTTTCAGAAGGGAACAACATCTGACTTTCTTCATCAAGATATGACATATAATGATGATGTACAGAGAAAATGGAACAAATAACAGTTTTACCATTAGCTCCATGTTTTACAACCCTTCGCCTGCCTCTCATGTAAAGTACATGAAAATATTTCCAAGTTATATTCAGAGTGGAGATAAGACTCATTGTGCTAAAGATGGTGATAACACGAAGGGCAATATAGACATTGGCTTAACCCCATTAAGGGAAGCAGCTCATAGAAAGATCAAGTACTGCTTCTAATTCTGATCTGAGCTAATCTTTCAAATCCTTGAAATATAAAACCACCAGTCAAAGATGTCAGGCGTTATACCATTTCTTTTTGAAACTTTCTTATAATGCTTAATGCAGCTAATAATGTAATAAGTTATGTAACATGAAAAGCAATAATCTAAAGATGCCAAATACAAACACATAATGCCACACAATTACCCAAGTAACAGACTCATAACATTTTCTACAATCCACATAGGAAGTGTAAATTAGCTTTGGAGACTCTTAGGCTATTTACATCTATTATAGATTCATATATTATTCATTCTAAAAGTGGAGATTATTGCTCTGAAGATGCATATAATATACCACAAGGATAAATGGACATTCATATGCATGAATGTGTTTCTGGCAAGGCAAGGGATTGATTATTGTTTCTGGTCTCTCCAGGCTTCAAATATTAGACATACTCGTTAGCCATTTCTCTCAAAGTCCATCTTTTGAATAGACTAAATGATGGTCATTTAGTAGGAAGACAGTAGAGCAATAAATTGATTTGTCAGACAAATTTTACTCCCCCCCTCCCCATTTCCATTATACTACTCCTTCCAATATCACAGCAAAGTAGGACTCAAATTTAGATAAGAAAATAGCAAATATGAAGATGACTGTACATGAATTATGAATGACTACATAAACAACAACTATACATTCATTTGCTCATCTCTGCCACACAAAGTAATTGCAGATATCGTAACAATTGATTCCGACCGATGGCACGATACAACAATATGGCGGTTTACACCGACAATGTATTTGTATTAATAAAGTAGTCTAGCTTCAAGTCTCCAGACTCCTCCCCCTCCTTTATGTAATCACTCGTGGGGATGCATATAATTGGGGGGAGGGGGAGGACCACAAGGGCTTGCAGCTAGACTATAATACAAATACAAATCACTTTATCATTGCAATACTACAATCAAATCTGGTAAGAACAGAACAGAACATCATATCAATGATGTGAGAACCATTAGTACATAACACATACTAACCATCAAATATGTACCATCATAATCAGACCAATTGTTTCATCAATAATTCAATAAGCAATAATTTGTTTTCAATATAATTTGCTATCAGTACAATGAATCCTGGCTGCAAGCATCTCTGAATTCAATCACTCCTCATAATATACCTAATACACCCTAGAGTAAAACTAATTTCTTGAGTAAAGAATCCCTTAAGAAGACTCCCCAAAGAATCTCACATTTTTCTGCAAAGTGAATTCTATTTAACATGCAATACTGAAATTGACAAACTTGAATAACATCTCCCTCATCAGCATGTCGGTCCGAACACAGTGAAGATCGAGCGTGCGAAGATACTCCAGCATAGGAGTATCTTGATTAGACTAAGTCCATACTAGTGTTTCTTGCCAGTGGTAAGTAATAATAAGTCAGTTTGGGCAAGAAGGGAGGGGTAAAGCCAAGGATACAGTGAAGAGCCCAGATCCATAACAAGGGGGCTTCGAAGAGTGCAGGCGAAAAAATTCTTTCAAAATAAGGCAGTGTTTACCATTTTGAGCAGTTTTCTCTTGATTTTTGGCAAAAAGTGTCAAAAAATGAAGCTTTCTGGAATTTTTCAGAAAGTAAACCTCCTTGACAAAAGCTGGCTACGGACCTGGAGCCAGTACACCAGTATGAAAGTAAAAGGATAGGCCTACAACAAGAGATGCCATGGGATAGTAAGCTTAAACAACTGTACTGATTTACGTCATTGTCGCCCAAAATTATCAAAAATCTGAGTAGAATGATAACTGCATTAACCAATTAATTAAACATAGTGTCAAAATCACTTGACACACATATATTTTTATGGTATTCAATAAATTCATAATACAGAAGGCGGTAATATAAATGTATTTATGTCCTTGCGTTTATGATTGATATGTGGTATAATCAACAAATTTCTTGGTGTCATATAGCCAAGTTGCAATCTCAGACTTTCTTTTAGGATATTTCTACTTATGACTATTGATATAACAGTCGAATATTGTTGATTTAAAGATGAGTATTAATCTCTAATATGTACAGGATAAAGTTTCACTTTAAATTTTGATAACCGTTCAATGAGAATAGCAATGGTCCACAATGAACATATGCAAGATTAGATAGATGTTGAGTGTATTATAACTGCCACTGAACTTTCGACAAACGAAGCAACACTCTTAGACACTTTCTGATAACTGATGGATTATAAATAGAATATAGATGTAATTCATTAAAATATCAACACAAAATTATCAAATTGACGTCAGAGATTTGGATTTTCAAGCTACTATTCACTTTTTCGAGATAAGACTAAGAGCGTGTGATAAATTATCAGTTAGTCAACAAGTATTACAATCCAACTTATTCTATATCTGGACATTAAAATGTCAACCAGTTCTATCTACGTCTTTGAAAATGTATTTTTAGCCTACAATAAACTTAACGTTGCATCTCATAAAACACAATTTATCAGAAATTTATGAGGGAATATGATGACCAATAGATTTTTGTTTCACAACTCCTGGAGAAATGAGCTTTTTGAAATAGAAATATTTAGATAGTTGTAAGTTTCAAATTAAAACATCTTTGCAGAATTGCACAGTAGTAAACCTTACAACCCTGCTTTATACCAATGTAATATCTATCAGAAAATAATTATTCAACATTTGTTAAAGCCATAAGGTGGTTAAGCATCATAAGAAATAATTTCACTGTATATGGACATTATTATAATTTGTCAGGATAGTTAGCTCCTACTTATGAAAGTTAGGCAATGAACCCCCCACCAAGGCATAAAAAGTTAACTCACTCAGTTTCATCATTTTCGAAAGTCAATTCTCCGTGGACATCTTCGTAATCTCTCCCATCTTTTGCGGTGCCCTCTATTGTCTTGTATGGAATCTTGACACAACCTCGGGCACCAGTCGCACGTGCAACTTTGATGTGGGCTTCTCCGATAGATTCAACAAAATCAACTTTCTCCGACTCAAAGTAAAACATACCAGCATGGTCATCATCTAAGATCATTACAGTTGCTCTCACTGGATTGGTCAATTTAGCAAATTCTGATGTTCTGTGTTCGCTTATCATCCCTTCATTACCGCCAACACGGACATTGCTTATGAGAACAAAAAAGTGTTCATCCTCTTCAAAGATGTCATCATCAATAATACTGATGGCAAACTGCTGGTGCGTCTCTCCAGGTTGAAACACTAGGGTGCCCTCAGCATATTCATAGTCAGTCCCAGCAGTCGCACTACCATCTTCCGTTTTATAGTCAACATAGATTGTGTTTCTCAAGTTGCCTCCACTTCTAGCAACAGTCATTTGAAAGCTACCTACACTCTCCATCACTGTATAGTGGCCAGGTTCAAAGAAAATCTTAGTGACATGAGGATCTTCAGCTTCGTCATCCAAGGCTGATTTTTGACCAATCTTGGGTTTCTTGAGGGATGCGCCTCCTGTTAATTTCCTTATGGATTGAATACGGTAGAATGCACGACTTTTCGGTCCTCTGTTCATTGCTTCCGCCTGTGCCATTTCTTCCAGTTTCTTCATATCAACATCTGGGTTATCTTTGCGAAGTCCTCGTAGAATTTCAATATATTCCAGCCTGTGCTTCTCAAATTCTTTAACTTCATCATCCGAATCAGCAATTCCCTTATAGTGAGTATCATTGTCATTGTTATTCATTAATTTACCCATTTCCAAGTCCTCATCATCATCAGCCCCTTCTGTGATAACAACAATACCCTTGTGTAACCCAGCTCTATAGTTCTTATTCAGATATTTGTAGAATAGAAGCCTTCGTTCAGCAATATATGCAGTGAGGATGGTTATAGGAAAAAACAAGAATGTTAAGACACCCTCCCAAACTTGAATCTCACCAGGCGATATTACGGCAATGATAACATAGAGCCACAAGTAGGCAAAGATACTCCAAGATGCTGTGATACAGAACACGCGCAAATGTTTAATTCTCCGCACTTGTCCATCTGGGATAACATAGCAACAGAAGCCAATGATACAGAACAGGTTAAAGGCAGCACTTCCTACGATTGTTCCAGGACCAAGTTCTCCAGCCTCAAAGTTTCTTCCAATCACCTCAACAATAGACAGAAGAATCTCAGGGGCAGATGACCCGAGAGCCATGAGAGACAGATTAGATACTGTTTCATTCCAGATCCTAACCTTTATTTTGGTCACTTCCCCAGTTTTACTCTTAATCTTGACAGTACGTTCTTTAGATGTGATTACTTCGATGGATGCCATAAAACGATCTGCTATGATAGCAACACCACAGAAACACCACACCAAACCGAGGCCATATACGATGGTTCTACAAATCATATCACCCGTACTCATCTCTATAGGCCTCCAAATTGGGAAGACCACGCCATCCTTGCAAGGGTCGGTATTTCGGTTACACGTCGGGGGAGGTTCTGCGGTAGCACTGGTGTTCTGTGAGAGGACAGGCTCAAATCCTAAACATACTAACATAACACACAGTCCCAGAATCTCCGCCATAGCTTTATTGAAGGCTGTCATAATTAATTAATGCCAAATGAATCGTCAGGTCTGCTAATGCTTGATAACAATTGCTAGTTAACTTGGTGAATGTTTTCTTAGCCCTCAAATCCTGCAAATATCATAAGATCAAATAAATCTCAAACCAATTGTTAGACTGACTTAGACCACACTATGTAAGAAAGAAGCTCTATAAACCATAGGAACAAAGATAATATGCTCATCCTTTGCTTTTTCTACTTAAAAATTATATAGTTAATAAAAAATCAAACTTGATTTTCTTTGCTTAACGGAACTATCTAGTTCTTTCTATCAGATTCAGAGGTAATAATATGGATACTTACATTCAAGTGACTGACTATTGAAAATCCATGGTAAAATAAACTAGAGCAATTTCAACCATTTAGGCTACCTGTCGGCTCATCTCTGAAATCTCCTACTCTCAAGATTATATAGCATTATTTGATATGGATTAATAATTGACAAAATGACCATATAAGGTATGACTTTAAGATACAATACTGTCGGTTCATCCTATTAAATCTCTGAAACTGACTGTTTATGATCACATGATCAAAGCACTTGAAATGATACTACTGAAGTTGTTTAAATTATTTTAATGAAAGTTATAGTACTTAAAACTTGTCAATAATCAACCAGCCCATCTCATTTATAGTAGGTCCGATCAGTTGAATTTTAATACTGTAGTGTCACCTATTTACTATTTATGAACTAAACTGATCTAGAAAATAAAAATGTTAATCAAAATGCAAAATCTTACATAATCTTATATCCCCATTCTAATTTTGAAAAGTATGCTTATTTTTGTGTAAAATGAAGCAGAAACTATATTTTGTTTTAGATGCTGTTTTTTGTTGGATAATTCTACCAAATATACTCCAGTAAAACATGTTTAAGTGAAACACCTTTGGTACCTCTACGAAGTTTGGGTCAGTTGGGTCTTGGGACTCTGAAAAGTGTTCCCCTAATGCCGTGGTCACATATGCTCCGGTCCATCGGCCGGCGCCTGGCTGATTGAGTGTTTTGTTCAATATTGTATTCAATTTTGGACAAAATACTAAATCGGCCGGGCGGCGTAGTGAAAATCGGAGCAAATGTGACCAAAGCATTACAGAGCTGTTCCATTCCTAGAGGTGTTCTATTTGACAGGTCCCACTTTATTATGTAATTTTCCATTCTGGGACTGAGAAGTAATCTTGCTAATTTACTGGAGATTGACACAAACATGAGTTTTGACCACGCTAGGCTTTTAGGAACATCAAGACTAATCAGAAAAGATCAATGTAATTTTAGGGACCATCTCAAGAAGATAATATAAAATGATGTATTGTAGGAATTGTGGTTAGAAGAAGTATGTGGTAAATTGAGATGACCCACATCTCTGTTCGATTCATTTTTAACAATGTGCCCCAATACAACATTTTACTTTTATTTTCTAAATTATGGTATTATGAGAAAGCTGAATGCAATATCAAAATATTATTTTTATCAATACTAATTTCTCATTATTTGAATACCATTAATTTCCTATTTCATTGATCAAACAAAATTCCCCCCTCCATCATTAAATGGGCAATTTCTAAAATATTCATTTTTGGAATATTTTATGCCAGACACACTTATAGTTCATAATGTAGAGTTGAGTGTTAAATACATTATAACATATGACCTTATATAACCCTGCCTATTGCAAACAGGAACACCAATGTTGCAGAAAAAGCAAATATTAATGCAAATATGTGTGACCATTGTGTAAAGGGAATTCCATAGTGGCTAATCTGATTACCCGATTGTTCAACTGAAAGGATTTTTCTCCTTGTTGTATGAATTGTTAAAATGTACAGAACTGGTTTTATAAACAATTGTACAAATAGGCCCATAGCTAGGATTTTTGAAAAATTCCAGGAGGGTTCACTTGTGAGAATTTTGGTCCAAAAATGGCCAAAATCACTTAAAAAGTGCTCAGATTTTTTTGTTCGTTCGTACCAATCGAACCCCCCCCCCCTTCCCCCCCGGCTACAGGCCTGACAAATAACTTAGAAACTCTGCAATAATAAAACTCCTCACTATAACAAATACTCTTTACCATAATGAACTTTTCACCATAATGAACACTCCTCAGCATCATGACTTCACACCCAAACAAAACTGAAAGAAGCAAGAATTGAAAACACAAAATTGTACACAATTGATTAGACTATTCCAACAAACTCCAACAAAATTATTGAATAGCTGGTTAGTATATATTGAATGTTAGAATAAGCAATGTAGGTCCTCAAATATAGTACATGTAAATGGAACTTAAATTGATAATAGCTTCACAATTTGCTAATTATCTGAAATTGGCAACTTCTAACTCATGATGGACAACACAGGACACATATATGTGTGAGATGAACTTGAACCAGAGTTCAAATTTTAGTTTTAAAAATAAAGTATATAATAACATTTATTTAAGCAGCCCCCCCCCCCAATCTCCAAGGTATTATGTAACGAATATGTCAATGTGCAATTGTACATGCACACATGTCAAAAGAAAGTGAATAACATGAGAGCACTTTGTGTTAAACATGACATGACATGAGTTTGACATGACATTATAATATAAATTACAATAAATGTATATTGAAGCTTGAAGTGAGGGGCTTAGTCAGTATCCAAAATAGGCGAGATAAATAGGATATTACACTTATATGGGATATAACTTTCAAAATTTCAGTCAAAAAAGCCAAAAGTATTTTGCAGTAGTTTTTCAAGAAAAATGTCTTTTAACAACATTTTTGTGTAAAATTTTACGCAGTTTACAATTTACATTCAATAAATCACAAAAACTCCTTAAAATCTATTAATTCTTAAATATTAAACATTCGTCTAAAATTCGGGCATGTAATAAGTGTTTAAAAATACAACATTGAGCATGTGGATTGACGTCAGTGTTCTCATTGTACATACTCTAGTAATAATAGGCTTATCCAGCAGCTGCCATACTGGGCTGCAAGCTATTATTGTACATTGTATTTTACTATGCACCAGTGTGACATACAGTAAAACCTGTCAAAGTGGAACACCTTTTGTACCTCTAAAAAGTGTTCCACTTGGGAGGTGTTCCACTTACAGAGGTTCATTTATCATTAAGTCAAATTGTCTTGGGACTCTTGAAAAGTGTTCTACTTATAGGGGTGTTCCACTTTACAGGTTTCACTGTACTGTTAAATCAGTGTATTCCTTCGGTGTAATACCTTGATGGGTCTAGATGCCAGTATGAAGGATTGCAAGCATTTTCTATTTTTCATATAAATACATTTATTGAAAGTAAATGTATTAAGATTACTGAGAACCAATTAGTGTTTATCTTGGTTCTGAACCAAACTGTTTCACTTGTGTATCTTGTCCTATATTAATAAATAAACCTCTTTTATTTCGTATCAGCTGTTTTTACATTTTCATATAATTTCTCATACTATGGTATGGAATTATATGGGGTACAATTTCTGCCTTCATATAACATGGCCTTAAAAGGGGGCTTCATATGTTTAACAATGGTCATGTCAGTGGGTTCACACTAAGTATTTCCCTGAAGAGCCCATTCTATACCTGGTTCATTTGATTTGTTCCTTTTAACTCTAGACAAGAAATAAAGAAATGTTATGTTTAATTTAGGTAGGATACTTCTTGAGTTAAAAATAACTTTACTGTAAAGTTACACAACTGAGTACAGACTGGTGAAAGGAGGGGAATTCCAATTCTATCTCTAAGCCTTATCACATATTATTACAGTCTTAAGTACATATACTTTCCTCATATTAAAACATTTCACTTTTAGGGTACTAACTTTTCAAGGGTGTCTATCTTAGTATAGTAAGCATGCTTTAGTACTTTGGTTAAGTGAAATTTAGGGAACTTAAACCAAGTTAACCTAGGAACTAATAATAGCAGAGATGTTAAATATTTGTATATACGGATTACAGGTACAGAAACATCTAGAGCAAGGCTGAAGTCAGCATTTAGCATTAAAACCAAATGTGCTGGTCTTTTACACAACTATTTACAGAGCATTTAAGATAAAGCCTCTTTGCTCAAACACTGGTAATATTTACTTCTTAAAATAGGAATTATATTTGTATAAAATCAAATAGCAATCCTTCATGAGATAGAAACATGGTAAGGTGAGAACTTTAAGCATCTGTATTGGCAGCACTGCCGTGGAATGTACATACAGGGCGTTCCAAAAGTAACAGGACTGGTGCTGGCATTTTGTTAAATATGCACCAATCGTCTTCAAAATTTTACATAATGTACTTTCATATATTGTTACTAAGACTGCAAAGTGTCGACAAAATATATGAAACTCGGGTAGAGTTATTGTTGCTATAGTAACATGACACTGCAATACCCGGGGCAACATTCCACTCAAAACGTTACAGAGACATTAAGCATTTTGTACATCCCATATCATTTTGTTCATGCCATATCACAGTTGAAATGCAACAACTGGTGTGATTTACATTTGTTTTACATCATTTGATATTCCTATGTATCCTCTACTTTGAAAAATAGCGGTCCTCTTTGGTCAGTACAAGAGTAGTACTCTGTATCCATGACCCAAACACATGAGTGAACCCATTTGAGGATATGTCACGCAGGGTCGATTGGACAATTTGGAGAAGGTCATTCTCATCTTTAAAGGTCCTACAGTACTGATTAGCATTCCATTCTCAATATAAGTAAAATTAGATATTGCATGATCAGAAGAGTATGGTGCATGGTTTTAGACCTCAAGACCAAGCTCCTCTTTAGCTGCATGGTCTTTAATGGTGACCTGCGGGCACGCGCGCTATCAAGGTGGATGACCGGCTTCAAAATGGGTCTTTTCAAAAACTCAACCGTGAATTGTTCAGACTGTTAAACATAGTGATATTCCAGGAAATTGAATAAATGTTATTCTCATTGTGAAATTATACTAGAATCTGAGTTGTATGGCAACATCTTTACAACAAAGCAACTAATAAAATAAACAAGAAATGTTGTATTATAATAGGTGAATTAGATACTTTCTTCAGTAATACAAAAATGTTAGATATCACATTTTCAGGAAAAAAGTTGCCCCGGGTATTGGAATGTCATGTTACTATAGTAACCATAACTCTAACCGCATTTCATCATTTTTTCTGAAACTTTACAATTTTAGTTGCAATACTTCAAAGTACAATTTGTGAAAATTTGAAGAGACTCACTGCAAAATTGACAAAATGCCAGCACCAGTCCTGTTACTTTTGGAACACCCTGTATATATGGTATAAACATGATAAATGAAAGATAATGTGTTAATCCACTCTAAGCAGAGATACTTGGTATAAATATAATGGTAAGAGGATATGGCCATATCTGATTTATTAGATTTAAAGATGAATCATTTATTTTGTGATGAAAAAATGAAGCAGTCGTATCGCAGTATAATGAAATTGGATTTGGAATTACTGCACACATTTTAAACCTGTATATACCAAACATCACTTTAATCCCATTTCCCGACACCTTTCATTATGAACACTTTTTCTCGGACCCACTTTTGTTATTTCCCATTGATTCACATATTAAAAAACATTGAAATGTGAATACCTGCAAATACGAACACTTTAGGTAAGTTCTAATGGTGTTCGGTTTAAACAGGTTTTCTGAACATGTGCATGTATCTTTCCACTATTTGAAAATGTCAAAATTGTATTCAATCATCAACAACTTTGTCAAAAACATTCAAAAATGATTATTATAGAAATTTACCATTTGCTTTTTGTACGCTAAATTTTTTTGAAAGGGCATCAAGTTACTGTATATTTGATTTCCATTTATACACCACATAAGTCAATTGACTTAATATAAAAAAGGGGTTATTGGCCTCAAATATATTATTATGGCACTTATATTAAAGCACTGTATATATAACTGTAAAACACTATATTCAGCCAACAATGGTAGAAATGTTTGATCTGTACAAATACAGTTCAGAAAAACTTATGAATTGATCATTTTCATTCAGTATTTTATTCAAGGCCATACCATTTCTAGTTGTTTGACTTGGCTTCGTTACTTTTAACTAGTTCCTCTGTGCACAGGGTAACAATACCACAAAACTGTTTGATGAATAACTCTACGAAACATGGCATGCACAAGATTTGTAACCCTTTAATTCATTTATTTAACTTTGCTTCATAGGAGAGCTTCGTTATTATAAGCTTATCTCTGTGATCAGGGTATTAACGAGCCCACGAATTGATTGACAAATAAATTAATGAAACATGGCATGCACAAGAATTGTAATTTTAAATTTGTCAATCAGGAGTCATGTATTGTAGACCTATCAGGCAATCAGCCTTCTCAGTTAGTATAGTATACATGTGTTAGCTGACAAATTACTGCATGCATATTACAAATAATGTAATATAAATTCCATGGAAGGCAAGGGACCTGTAAGTACTTAAGCCAGGAAAATCAATGTCCTTCTAAATGTAGCAGAAGAAACGATTGGCTATATCGCCTGATTTATCAATACATACAACACCAAAGTATAATAGGGAATCAAACAGCAAAGTTCTGCAGATGGCAGCTTGTCAAATTGCATGACTTTTTCTCATCAGTCTAATGCTGTCATACGCAGGGACGATCAATGCAACTTTTACATCAACACACCATTGTGTTTAAGTATTGCAAACACAAGAACAAAAACAATTATCAAGTTCAATTGTCATGGTATGAAGAGCCAAATATTTGACATTGGGATATATATAGATTTATGTGAACTAATGTTAATAATGCTGAATCGCATATCAACTTTCCAAGTCAATGCTAACTAAATTCACATGGATGAAAATCAATAACATATTGGTTAATCTATAAGGCTGCAGTGTTACAATTGCAGGCAGTAGTTTTACTCTGAAATAGCGAGTGATTCTCTTGCATGAGTCAAATATACAACAGTTACATGTATATCTTTTTATACACCTCCATTTAGATATCAATGCAATCATATATATATTATATGCAGTAAGTGAACCATCTGACTGAGATTAAACAATATTGTAATTGAATTTAGCAATTCAATCACTTTAGTTCAACCAGTATATAGAGGTGTCACGGAACAAAAAATCTTCAGAATGGTTTGACATGGAACATTTGACTTCAGAATAGAAAAATTTTAGCTCTTGAAAACAAAATTGTCAATTCAAGTTATATTGTGGTTTACTCACTTCACTCTAACAATTGTACAGAATCTTCAGGCCAATAGCCAGCTTATGCCAAGGGGGGTTAACTTTTGAAAATATCCAGGCAACTTTGGACCAAAATCACTTGAAATAGAATAATGAAAAACTGCATGATTTCGAAATTATTTTTGGCCAGCCCTCCCCCCTCGGCTACGGGCCTGATCTTATGTAGATTTAGTTAAGATTTCTAATAATCATTATAATAATAAAATGATTACTCACTCGGTCTCGTCATTTTCGAAAGTCAGTTCTCCTTGGGCGTCTTCGTAATCTTTTCCGCTTCCCTTAGCACTGCCCTCTATTGTTCGATACGGGATCTTGACACGACCTCGGGCACCTGAAGCACGGGTAACTTTGATGTGGGCTTCCCCAACAGATTCAACAAAATCAAACTCAGCTGATTCGAAGTGGAAAATACCAGCGTGGTCATCATCTAAGATCATCACAGTAGCTCTCACTGGATTGGTCAATTTAGCATATTCCGAAATTTGACCTTCTTGAACCATTTCTCCATTGCAACTAACGTGGACATTGCTAATACGCACATAAAAATGCTCATCCTCCTCGAAAATGTCATCATCAATAATACTGACAGAAAATTGCTTGTGTATGTCTCCTGGTTGGAAAACCAAGGTACCTTCAGCATATTCATAATCAGTTCCAGCATTGGCTGTCCCATCTTCAGTCTTATAGTCCACATAGACAATATTGTTCATGTTGCCACCGCTTCGGGAAACGGTCATCTGAAAGCTGCCGACATTTTCCATCACAGTATAGTGGCCTGGTTCAAAGAAAATCTTGGAGATATGGGGGTCTTCTTCAACCTCAACTTCAACATCATCTAAAGCGACCTTCTGACCAATCTTAGACTTCTTGATGAGATTGCCTCCTCCTGTGAGTTTTCTTGTGGCTTGAATACGGTAGAAAGCACGACTTTTTGGCCCACGATTCATAGCCTCATATTGAGCCATCTCTTCAAGTTTCTTCATGTCAACATCGGGATTGTTCTTGCGAAGTTCACGAAGAATCTCAATGTATTCCAACCTATGTTTCTCGAATTCATGAATTTCCTCATCTGAATCTGTGACCCCCTTGAAGTGAATGGCATTGACATTGTTGGTCTTCTCGCCCATTTCTAGATCTCCCTCAGTGACAACAATCGTACCTTTATGGCCGCCTGCACGATACTTCTTATTCAAGAACTTGTAGAAGAAGATTCTGCGGTCGGCTATATAGGCAGTGATAATGGTGAGTGGGAAAAACAAAAAGGTAAGGACGCCCTCCCAAACTGTTACCTCACCAGGTGTGATGACAGATATGATGATATACAGCCACAGGTATGCGAAGATACTCCAAGATGCCGTGATAAAGAATACACGTAAATGCTTGATGCGTCTCACCTCATCATCGGGAATAACGTAGACACAAATGCCAATAATCACGAACAAATTAAAGGCAGCACTACCTACGATGGTGCTAGGACCGAGGTCTCCTGCCTCAAAGTTATTCTTGACAATCTCAACAATAGACAGAAGAATCTCAGGGGCAGATGACCCCAGAGCCATGAGAGACAGATTAGAAACCGTTTCATTCCAGATTCTCACTTGTAGCGTTGTCACTTCCCCAGATGGTTTCTTAATTTTAACAGTTCGTTCTTTAGAAGTGATTACTTCAATAGATGCCATGAAACGATCTGCGATGATTGAAACCCCCAGGAATGTAAAGAGCAGGGCGGAAAAATACACAATGGCCCTGGCAGCCTGATCGCCTGCACTCATGACAGCTGGTTCCCACAAAGGGATCACTAATCCTTTCTTGCACTTCTCGACGTCCATTGTGCATTTTTCTTTCTTTAGGGGATCCGGAGCAATAGTTGTCGTGGTAGAAACATTCTGCGCCATGACTGGCTGAGATCCTAAATACACTAACAATAAACAGCATCCCAATACCAAAGGGACTCTTTGTAAAGTCCCCATGATGAAACAGTAATATCGGAAATATTGTTGATTAAGTAGTCAGTGAAAGATGGATGGGTTAATATCCTAGAGGTAAAACTCTCTATCTCTTGCTTGATATAAATATCCTTCCTAGGTAATAGCTGTGCAAATCTGTTGATGCGATGTGAAAAATGCTGGCTGAGATGAGGTGTCTGTATCAGCTATATATGGCCAGCCTTATGCATGTCAGTTGCTTATGTCAGTTCCAGTTAGAATGTATAACCATTTCACATGTACATGGGTTACTTCTCCAACTAGAATCTGAAAATATAAGAAATACATTTCATTATATGCCCAATACAATTGGATGTGCCTGCTAAATAGGCAATAGGCCTAATAGGCTAGAAGTCCATATTCTAGAATGTGATCTTTATGCCTACTGTTAGGCTAAAACCTACTCTTTAGTCTATACCTAACCACATCATTATTTTAAGTTTAAATTATGAATCCCGGGGAAACATGTAGATAGCGTAAGTACAATGTTTGGTTACCTGAACAAGTATAATAGATAGGCTAATAGCCGATGACAATTTTACTCATCTTCAAAATTTGAACGCGGCAATTTTTGAGAGCTGAATTTTGATTTGTAATCGAAACTTGTACTCACCACGGATATTGTATTGAAATACGAGTCACTACTATTCCATTATACATCAATACAATCTGTTGAGATGAAACTTTCTCATAGAAAATCGGTCAATTTTAACTAGCCTTCCCTGCCGCTGAAATCCAAGTGTTCATCCGGCTGGAAATTCTGCACAGTGAAAAGCCTTACCAGACGTGGCCAATCGATCAACTTAAAATAGCTCTACCGTAAACACTCGAATAAACGCCTATTTGAAATATGACACGCTGGATGATGGTTGAGATGGATATCGCCGGGAAATCAGCGAAGGAAGAATAACTAGATCTCAGCTAGACTAATAAACAAAACCATCATATATTAGAAGCATATCTAGGGTTGTTAGCAATACAAGGATAATTTGAGTCCTGTAGGCTATTCTAATCCGTTCCCAACGCCGAAACCAAGACTGTTATAATATTGGTGTCTGCATTACTCTCCAGGGGTTTGTTTTTGGTACCATCCCGGGGTACGATCATCTTACGATTCAAGAAAATCATTGTCTACTTTAGAACAATGACTTGCGATGTAACGTTAGGACGGTTCCAAAAACGCAGACGGCTGCAGACAATATAAATTAGGCCTATCAATCCAATGGGCCATTGTACATTTGAACTTAGGCTATATTTCTCAATCTAACATTCCAGAAAATCAACCACGAACACCATGTTAAAAACAAAGTCACAGTCATTCATATCAATTTGAAAAAGATTTAGCCATAAAAATCACAAGTTCTGACCTGTTCCCGCCATCTATTCAAATTTCTTAGAACTTGACGTATGAATCTGGTCAGATGGTACATGGCAGCCAAAGTTCCAATAATGTTTATATTTTTATGTTTCATCATCACTGCCATATTTTTTATTCAAGATAGCGTTGATTAAGCTCAGAAGTCATTCAGAAAGTACACATAGATTTTGCCCCCCTCAAAGAGGCGAAGGGATAGTGAATTGGCTTGGGAAAATTACATTTTAAAATGGTCGTAGTAAGACCTACAGGGTGAGCCAAAAAAGGCAAATATAGGCCAGAGACATATATGTCTCTGTATAGGCCTATGTCAATAACTCGGTCATTGAGCATGGGTTTAAAATCATGGATTAAAGCGGCTCTAAGGTCTGTGGAGAGAAAAATGGAGAAATTTTACCTTTTCTGAGCTATCGGGGTGAAGTTTGGTCCAACATCTTCTTCCTTATTCCTATTTTATAAAAATGTATGCATATGGCAATATTCATCAACCAGTAGAACTGGCAAATCGTTTAGAATCTACAATTCCATACAAGGAGTCCCACTCATAGATTTTTCAAATTCTTTCCAAGTCGACGTCGAAACACCTAGCGGGTGAAATTGAAACTAATTTTTCTGGCTGCTCGAATCGATAAAATCTCTGATAGTGTGAGTCTTTTCATTGCACAAAATTTGTCCAATATTTCACTGCGCATGCGCAGAACCATTACTTCTGGTTTTCCAAAGCCTATGGGATTTATAATGGAGACATTTTTCAAACGCTTACTGTGCGAATGATATTGATTTGCCACCTTAGTCATCTCAGGTTTCTATAACTAGACATCAACCTTTACTGATTTAACATGTTTTAAGCAATGTACACATGCACACTTTTCGGCGAATTTGTTTTGAAAAAATCATGAGGAATTCATGCATGACTCCATTGAAATCCATTAGAAATGGCGTCAAAATGGTGAAATGAGGATATTCAACGGTTTGGTAGAGGTACTTAAAATCATATGGTATCTTAGTCATCTCAGGTTTCTGTAACTTTGAAGGTAGATCTGTTTGATTCCGTTGAGATTAGAATCCTCATACCTTTAACTTTTCGGCCAATTTCAAACAAAATATGATAACTTTTGGAGATATAACTGGTTCATTACATTGGAATGACGTCAAAATAAAATAAGACAATCTCAGTTTCTATGGCACTGACGTCATGACGTCAGATTTATCTTAAGATCTCAAATATGACGTCATGTTTAATCAATGAATGACATCTATCGGCTATTCGACCAATTCTGTGCAATGTTATGAAATCTTTCTGATAGAAAACACTTAATTAATATTAGAAAGCATTAAATGTTGAATCCGAAGCGTAATCTGAAATAAAAGTGAAAAAACATTGCGCGGACGTCAGAGAAAAACTTCCGGTTTAATAAAAAATGGCGGACGTCGAAGGAGAAATTATGACGAAGAATTAGAGGATTTTCCTTTGCCATTATCGATCGTTATAAGGTATGTGCACAAATTCTAGTAGCCACATGGAAAATAGATACATTTTTAAAGGCAACAACATATTCAAAGCTTTCATTTTACGATAGGCCCAGGATCATTGGATACGACTCGGCAATCGATACTCCCACTTTAATTAATAAAACGCCACCACCACGCGTTCGAGAAGTTTAGTGAATCAAAAAGCGAGCATTTAGGGGGGTCTGGCGGTTCTCCCCCAGGAAAATCTTGAAATTTGGTTGTATTTGGAGCGAATTTGCAACCATCTGGTACGCCTGTGCGTACCTAGCGTACCGGGCGCTACGCCCATGATAATCAATTAAACCCTTTTCAATGTTCTTTCTTTCTCCAAAGTTTCAATGGTCCCCAATATGGTTACGATTTTATGGCCATTTTCAAAACATGCTTCAAATACCGAAACGTGCATCATCATCCCCGGCACTCACCGCCGGGACATAAATCCCACCAGATTCTTATCTTTGGGGTTAATGTCTACACAATCAACCCTGAAACATTGGAACAAGAGATAAGAAGGTAGATGAGAGCCATGATACAAGATCTCTGTGCTCACTGCTTATGCCGTGCTCATGTAGCTAACAACTAGGCGCAACTAGGCCTACACCCGATACGTTCAATTCAGCCTCCCGTGGTTTCGCCTCCACACACGACGCTGGTACTTTATAGCATGTTTTGTAAAATGGCCATAAAATCGTAACTATTGGGAATATACCTAACAAAACTTAGTAGAAATCATCGAACAAGGTTCAATTGTGCCAAATGCCATGACACCAAACCCATGCTGAATGACCCCTGAATTATTAACATTAGGTTGGGTTACATTTTTTGGCTCACCCTGTATGTTGCTCTATCAAGGAAATATATAGTAAAAGGGCAAAACACAGTTTATGCTGCAAGTCAGTGTTTATGCAATCAGCAGCAGTCACGATAAATTATGTGCTCAATTTAATTATTGAGTAACATGATATTAACGAACGAATTGAGTAACTTAATTATGAGTGACACAAAGTGTAGGGCCTAGGCTAATTGAGTAACCCAAATGAGTAACTCAAATAAATAAGTAGATCAATGATTGAGATGAGTAATGGAAATTAATTCAAATTAGTAAAATGTGTGTACCAAATGAGTAAATTGAATAACTCGAATGAGTAAATGAATGATACCTCACATGTATTTGAGTGATTCAAATGAGTAAATTGAGTAAATAGGCCTAAATGAGTGACCCCTACGCCCAAGTGACTTGGATGAGTCAATGGGTTACTTATCAAGAAAATGGGCCTTAAATTTTCAAATTTGAACCCGATTTTTTGTTTTAGGGGCTCAAAACGTTTTTCAGATTCCCCCCCCTGTATTTATGTTTATTCTATCCATACAAATATATAATAAGTTACATAAATTAATGAAAACATTTGTTACATACAATAATAAAGAAGAAAATGTTTAAGCACAACTGATCCTTGCATTAATGACGGACGTCAGGCTACACGCGTTGACACCGTCAGTTTACAACGTGCATGATGGTTACATACAATAAGTTCAAAAAGTTACATATAAATCAATTTTAAAAACAAATAAAAATCTATTTCTTGGTATCCAAATCTACTGTAGAAAAGTCAAAATAATCTGAAATCAGATCCCGGGTTACTTGAATGACTAATTAAGGAATTTAAGCAGGCAATAGGGAGTTTAAACTTGCATATAAAATCGAAACACCAACCTGTACTTATGACCAATCGCCCATACAAATGCATCGCTTAATATTTTGTTCACGTTTAGGTTGTGAAAAACAGTACATGCTTAAACTCCCTTATGTTTTTCACAACCTAAACGTGAACGGAAAATATTCAAGCGATGCTTTTGTAATAGAGATTTTACATTTTGGCATGCCATCTCCTGACACCTTAGTGAACTAAGTCATGTGATCATTTATATCCAATCAGAATGCATTTCTGCCACATAGTGATAGCATAGTGATCCAAAGCTAAACCAAGGTGTAGGACAAGGAGGATTGGCTCCCAGAGTGCACCACCGATATTCTGTCCCATATATGGGTATGTCGTAATATAAATTCGAATTCAAACAGCCGCCATTTTGTTCACTTCAACATTTAAATCGTGAATTTTGGTCTTATTTCCAAACGAAAAATTCCAAAACTCACAAGAAACGATCGAGATATTGGTTCGAATCTTTTGAACTGTTTATTTTGAATTTATAGTCGGTTTTAATTTCAGAAAATAACGACATTTCGACGTTTTCATTGTTGGAAAATATCGAGTTTCGATCCTGGGAGCCAATCCTCCTTGGTGTAGGAAGGGTTTATATTATCATATAGAAGGGGTGCGCTTTTCTAATTGGCCATGGTTGACATGCATGTTTGCAAACTTAGAACTTGCATCAAGAGCTCTGACTGGCATCCTAACAAAATAAATTCATACTACACTGATGCCTGGGTCACATTTGCTCCGTTTGTTCAATATTGTATTCAATTTTGAACAAAATACTCAATCGGCATGGCGCCGTAGTGAAAATCGGAGCAATCTGCATTACTTGTACACAGTGTATACCTGAATAGCCCATTTTCAGCATAGTAATTTCTAAGAAGTGTTTCCAAAATGCTCCATCATGGAATACCTTGACCCTCTCTTTTTACATGATAGACACAGACATGTTTCTAGATGCGATGTGTACCAGAATGAAAGCTCTGGCTTCTTCCTAACTTGGCGGGAGGGTGCAAAGTACTTTCTTGATCATTAAAAATAAATGCCATTGTCACAGGAACTCTGCATTTTATGTAAATCCATTGAATATTTATCTGCATGCTCGAAGTTAAGTAAGTTAAGAAGATGAGATTCTTTATAACACTTGATCCAAATCTATTTGATATTCAAAATCTGAATAAACCTCTCTTTTTGAAGAACCAACTATCTATCATATTACTCAGATTGGATTAATCAATATTCTCATACTCTCTCTAGTTTGTATGAATGAATGACCCTAAACATCATGTGAAAGACTTCTCAGAAAATGTGCCCAATATATTACTCTAAATCATACATGTCATAGGAGCTTTGAAATTTTGAAAAGTTGTCTGAAACAAATATTGTGATCATAAAAAGAGAATGCATTGTTTTCTAAAGCAGTTTTCTCATTTTTTCTATTTTTAGGAATGAATTCAAATTTTCAAAGCTTCTATAATTTCAAATAATATATTTGGCACACTTTCTCAAAAATGCAATAGATTCTGTCTGGTGACCTTTCTAAAAGTCCAACTTTTAACTGTTTTTGAGTCACATTTTCTGAGTCACACCTCCTCTGTGTATACTTTCTCCAGTACAGTATGTATGAATCGAAACTAGGTTAATTTTCCATGTGCCTAAACCAATAATTTATTGTTTTATCTACTCTCTGTGTATGTGTGTATGGACTACTATTTATATTTTTCCAGTGTATATATGAAACAATAAATTTCAACTGTGTGTATTGACAAATATCATGTACTTTCTCCAGTGTGTATGAGCAAATATTATGTACTTTCACTAGTTATTTAACCAATACTCTGTACGTTCATACACACTGGAGAAAGTACATAGTATTTGTTCATACAAAATGTGTGTTCATAAACAATGGAGTACATGATATTTGTTCATACATACTGGAGAAAGTATATACACAGGCGTGTTGGTTCATATACATGTCCATACTGGAGAAAGAGCGTAATGTCTCTTCATACACATTATAGATATTGTAGTACATTAAATTCGTTCATACTCACTGGTTTAGGTACATTTTATTCGTTCTGACACATTGATTAATTAACAAAATATTGAAAACACGGAAGAGAATGAACAACGTTTTGGTTCATGCACAATGGAGAAAGTACAAATCATTTGCTTATGCATGTTGGAGAATGGACACAAAATATTTGTTCATACATGCAGGAGAAAGTACAAAAAATGTGTTCATTGAAAGTGGAGAATCCAGATTATATACTTTCTCCAGTTTGTATGAACAAATCCATCAATGTGTTTCATACAACACATTTTAATTTGTAATTTAAGATGCTATGTAAGTTAACAGAAATGACAAAACAAAAAATGTCAAAACCATGCTGGATTCTGACATTTTTTTGAACCAAGATAAGTTCTGTTTGGACCTCCAGTCAGTTTTACTAGTTCAACATATTTTTTTCTTTTTCTGAGAATGATATGAATTTTTTTAAATTGTATCATTCTCTTCAGTGACCTTTCCTGAGCACCTACTCTTAGCTATTTTTCAGTCATATTTTCAAAGGGCTGAAAAGGTTATTTCATCATGTTTATGGTCATTCTGACCATTTTCCTTGTGTTCCCAGTCATGTAAATGATATGTGGAACTAATTAAACTGACTAGAGGTCCAAACAGAACTCTGTTATCTTGATTGAAAAAAATTTCAAAATCCAGCATGGTTTTGATATTTTTTGTTTTGTCATTTCCTGTTAACTTCCATAGCACCTTAATCTGTATTTCCAAGTAAGATTTTTTAGAATTGTGCCTGATTGTGAAATTTAGTCAATAAACTAACCAGAAATGTCTGCAATAATAGAAAAAGCAATAGTGATTTTTGGGCATTTTGGCAAAGCCTTTGGTTTTTAATGGGAAGATTGTCTTTATCACTAGAACTGTTCTGCATGGGGTCTTTTGCACAATTGATAAATTATATACTATACTAATACATTACTATATAGATTTGCAATGTCTAGGTTTTATTCAAGTAACTGACTCCACTGAGTGTGTATTTAAATGTTGTGCTTATAAAATGTATCGACTCCTATACTACCTTTTGAATGAAAATAAACTCTTCCAAAAGTGATAGGACCTTAGTGCACCCATGCCATGGTAAGGACCTTAGGTTGGCATGCCAAAATGTAAAATCTCTATTGGCGATTGGTCATACGTATAGGCATGGGCATTCAACTAGTTAAATGCCCATGGTATAGGTTGGCGTTTCGATTTTATATGCAAGCTTAAACTCCCTAATGATGGACTCGAACGACGAGTTATCGCGTTTCCCCCACTTTAGGACCCTATCTTGCCACTATTTTTCAAAATGTCCTAATCATTGTCTAAAAGAAGGACATCCTTTTGAAGTTTTCTCATTTTTACCATACCAAACCAACTATGCCCCGGCCTGACGCGCCAAAGTAAGAGGACCGGTCTCATCGAAGACCTAGCCCACAATTTGATAAGGAAATTAACCCAGTTTGAATATACAAATTGTAAGCAAGTTTGAGTCGATTAACAGCAGAGTGGCAAATTGAGGTGCAGCGGCATATGAAGACAGCAAATCCTTTTGTTGCATAATCACCTTCTAACAACACGTCAAAAGTGGAAATTGGGGGTCCAGGTTCAGGCATATTTAACGCCCGGGGACATCCCCTCCACACATAGGCGTCCCCCTACACGTCAGTGCAATTTTAAGACATGATACACTTTATATATAACCTTTTGCCAATCAATGTCACAGTATCATGGGTGCGGGGGGGGGCGTAAGCGAAGCCTCATCTAAAAACTCGCCATTTTTAAATGTGCAAGCTGATGGTTCTGACAATGAAGAAACTAACAGGTGATAGTTCCACTGACATCTATACTAAATAGTTATGAACAGTAACACATTAGTGAATATTGATTACAGTGACATCTATAAACAATTTTAACGAAGAGATAATCCCATTATTTGAATAGACGAGATGCGAGTAGAAATGATCTTGATTTACGTAGGGAACTTTTGCTATCTGACCCGAGCGAGCCACCTCGCATTTGCGTTATTTGGTTTAATTTTTTTTAGTTTAGCTACAAGCCCTTGTGACCCCCCAATACAACAAGTGTGGTGGGCGTCACAGAAACTTGTATAGCTAGACTATATTTTCCTATCTCATCAAAATAACCGGATTCAAACTGATGAGTTTTTTATTATACTCACAGCTTCTTATTCATTGTTATTGTAAAATATTTGTTTTTGTTTTTGTATTTGTTTTTTTGTAATTTACAAAGAAGATATGATAATTTATGTGAAACCCTATTGAAATATACAATCGTCAAGCCTGTCATTACGCAGCTTAAAACTAGTCACTACCGTACGTTAGGTCTACCTATCTGTGTTGGATTTATCGTTAAGGAATTTTGACTGTTCAGTCAAGCTTAGTAACCGAATCACTTCCGAGCTAAAGAATATCCCACACTTGTGACGTTTTAACTCAAATACTTAACACATCTAGAATCACTTCTCAACCAAGCATTTCCGAAAATGGATTCAAATATTTTGGGTTGGAGATGATTGGTGCGTAATTGATTATCTTTGGAAACTTGCTAGGATAAGCAATCATTTTCATTTCTTCCTTTAAACAAGGTATTCAGTTTTTTTATTTGAACAACGGAAAACTTTTTACAGTTTAAAATTCCATGCTGATTGGATAACACCATTTGGTTAAATATAATCTAATGTACTGAAAATGTTCTCATGACAATGTTCAACCGTGTTTTAAAGATCTCTAAACAGTTGAGGAGAAGATGTAGGAAATCATTTCACAATTTTTTTTGGGCCCAATTTTTTCTTTTTTTTCTTTGGGTGGGCGGGCCCTCAGCCCCCCCCCCCCCAGATCCGCCAGTGCATGATGATGGTGTTTTCACATATCCGTTGACAATATATCATAATTAATGATTAATAAATGTCTTTGTATCGTTTATATTCAAATATATTATAAACGGGCGCATATAGACTATCAGCTTTTTTAAAACAGGTGAATTTGGTTGTTGGGATGATAACCATTCCGCGATGATTTGAGTATTGATCAGAACTTGGTACCATCCTGCACCCGATGAGGTCGCAAGAGCTTACATACCGCGTCTTCCGATTCGAGTTACCTTTATTTTGAAAGATGGACTGTTAGCTTTCTTCAAAATCATACTTGCAGAGAAGAACTGACTTTTGTACACGTTTTTTGTTGTCATGCCCACAAAAGATAGACCCGTCTTTGGTTAGGAAAAGAAGAAACGATAAAGACAATCAACTACCGTATACAAAAGCGACTGGACCATTTCACTCATCAGACATATTCTACTGTGAAGATAGAAGAGTTCATCTCAAATCTTGGGCAAACTCCTTCTTTGGTATTTTCGTTTTCTTTTTTCAGACAAGCAATATGAGTGACTCTACGTTGTGTAATAGTAACAGATTCTTAACTGTTCTTTCATACCTAATAATAATCATTTGAATCCTCTATCAATTTGCATAGGAGCGTGACTTTGTTAAAATTGTGTATATGGTCAGTTCTGTTTTGTGATGTTAAAAAGATTTCCGCCAAGTAGGATAGAACTTACAGTTTAACTCATCTCAATAAATTCACTTTTGATATTTCACATTTACTAAGTATGAAACAAATCTTAGGCAGTACTGTATTCGTAACAAACATTGACTTAATTATTTACTTTGTTAACATCGTTATACGTCAGATATGATAGATGATATTTGATTAAGCTTTAAGAGCAAATATTGTCTACCAAAATAAGAATAAGAATCGCTGAGTCACATTCATTGAGTACACTTGGACCAAAGAAGTCAGGTTTGCAAGAGTATGAAATTGACGTATAGTAGCAAGACAACAATGAATTTGATGTACAGGGTGAGCCAAAAAGGTAAACAAATGCTTATATCCAGTCAAGCAGCATGGGTTTAAAATCAAATTGGGCACAATCAAACCTTCTTCAATGTGTTTCCATTATACCAAGTTTGATTGGTTTATCTCCAATGGTCAAGATTAAATGGCCATTGTACAAAACATGCCATAATGCTGCTTTGGTGTCGTGTTTTGAGGCAAAGTTGAACATTGTTTCGGCATGTGGATCATGTTTTGTAAATGGCCATGAAATTGTGACAATTAGAGATAAATCAACGAAACTTTATATATTAAAGAACATTGAACACGGTTTGACTGTACTAAATATGACTTTAAACCCATGCTGAATGACTGAGTTACTAGCATATATTTGCTTGGGTTACACTTTTTGGCCCACCCTGTAGTTTGACAGAATGTCGACTAGTGAACCACATTGGTACGCCTCTAGAGGAGACTGATATACAATGCAATTAGGACAATTAGGACAAATCTGATATAATCATGGCTACAGACGATGAGAGACTGGAACAAGACATAAAAGATGCGCTAAAGAGGGGCAATGAAACTGAATTGCAAAAACTTCTCCATAACTTATCAAATCAACGTCAGTGTCCAGAGGACATCATAGTATGGGCGTTTGGGAACAATATCCAAGTGAGCAAAGAGACCATCCAGATATTAGTGGAATATGGAATGGATGTTAACGCCAGATACGACAGCAAAGAGTTTTTCTCAGATGATGAGAGAAAGACTGCATTAATATTTGCTGTAGAGAGGAATAGTGTGAAATGTTGTCGTGCTCTGATAGACCATGGTGCTGACGTTAATGCCAGTGACAGATATGGGAAGACTGCATTTATGTATGCTGTAGAGAGGAATAATGTGGAATGTTGGCGTGCTCTGATAGACCATGGTGCTGACGTTAATGCCAGTGACAGATATGGGAAGACTGCATTTATGTATGCTGTAGAGAGGAATAATGTGGAATGTTGGCGTGCTCTGATAGACCATGGTGCTGACGTTAATGCCAGTGACAGATATGGGAAGACTGCATTTATGTATGCTGTAGAGAGGAATAATGTGGAATGTTGTCGTGCTCTGATAGACCATGGTTCTGACGTTAATGTCATTGACGGAAATGGGAAGACTGCATTGTTGTATGCTGTAGAGGAGAATAATGTGGAATGTTGTCGTGCTCTGATCGACCATGGTGCTGACGTTAATGCCAGTGGCAGATATGGGATGACTGCATTGATATATGCTGTAGAGAGGAATAATGTGGAATGTTGTCGTGCTCTGATAGACCATGGTGCTGACGTTAATGCCAGTGGCAGATATGGGATGACTGCATTGATATATGCTGTAGAGAGGAATAATGTGGAATGTTGTCGTGCTCTGATAGACCATGGTGCTGACGTTAATGTCATTGACGGAAATGGGAAGACTGCATTGTTGTATGCTGTAGAGGAGAATAATGTGGAATGTTGTCGTGCTCTGATCGACCATGGTGCTGACGTTAATGTCATTGACAGATATGGGAAGACTGCATTGATATATGCTGTAGAGAGGAATAATGTGGAATGTTGTCGTGCTCTGATAGACCATGGTGCTGACGTTAATGTCATTGACGGAAAAGGGAAGGCTGCATTGTTGTATGCTGTAGAGAAGAATAATGTGGAATGTTGTCGTGCTCTGATAGACCATGGTGCTGACGTTAATGCCAGTGGCAGATATGGGATGACTGCATTGATATATGCTGTAGAGAGGAATAATGTGGAATGTTGTCGTGCTCTGATAGACCATGGTGCTGACGTTAATGTCATTGACAGATATGGGAAGACTGCATTGATATATGCTGTAGAGAGGAATAATGTGGAATGTTGTCGTGCTCTGATAGACCATGGTGCTGACGTTAATGCCAGTGGCAGATATGGGATGACTGCATTGATATATGCTGTAGAGAGGAATAATGTGGAATGTTGTCGTGCTCTGATAGACCATGGTGCTGACGTTAATGTCATTGACGGAAATGGGAAGACTGCATTGTTGTATGCTGTAGAGGAGAATAATGTGGAATGTTGTCGTGCTCTGATCGACCATGGTGCTGACGTTAATGTCATTGACAGATATGGGAAGACTGCATTGATATATGCTGTAAAGAGGAATAATGTGGAATGTTGTCGTGCTCTGATAGACCATGGTGCTGACGTTAATGTCATTGACGGAAATGGGAAGGCTGAATTGTTGTATGCTGTAGAGGAGAATAATGTGGAATGTTGTCGTGCTCTGATAGACCATGGTGCTGACGTTAATGCCAGTGGCAGATATGGGATGACTGCATTGATATATGCTGTAGAGAGGAATAATGTGGAATGTTGTCGTGCTCTGATAGACCATGGTGCTGACGTTAATGTCATTGACGGAAATGGGAAGACTGCATTGTTGTATGCTGTAGAGGAGAATAATGTGGAATGTTGTCGTGCTCTGATAGACCATGGTGCTGACGTTAATGCCAGTGGCAGATATGGGATGACTGCATTGATATATGCTGTAGAGAGGAATAATGTGGAATGTTGTCGTGCTCTGATAGACCATGGTACTGACGTTAATGCCAGAGACGACGGGTGGAAGACTGCATTGATGTATGCTGTAGAGAAGAATAATGTGGAATGTTGTCGTGCTCTGATAGACCATGGTGCTGACGTTAATGCCAGTGGCGACGATGAGAAGACTCCATTGATGTATACTGTAGAGAGGAATAGTGTGGAATGTTGTCGTGCTCTGATAGACCATGGTGCTGACGTTAATGCCAGTGACGACGATGGGAAGAGTGCATTGATGTATGCTGTAGAGAATATTGATGATGTGGAATGCTGTCGTGCTCTGATAGACCATGGTGCTGACGTTAATGCCAGTGGCGGATATGGGATGACTGCATTGATGTATGCTGTAGAGAAGAATAATGTGGAATGTTGTCGTGCTCTGATAGACCATGGTGCTGACGTTAATGCCAGTGGCAGATATGGGATGACTGCATTGATATATGCTGTAAAGAGGAATAATGTGGAATGTTGTCGTGCTCTGATAGACCATGGTGCTGACGTTAATGCCAGTGACCACGATGGGAAGAGTGCAGTGATATATGCTGTAGAGAATATTGATAATGTGGAATGCTGTCGTGCTCTGATAGACCATGGTGCTGACGTTAATGTCATTGACGGATATAGGAAGACTGCATTGATATATGCTGTAGAGAAGAATAATGTGGAATGTTGTCGTGCTATGATAGACCATGGTGCTGACGTTAATGCCAGTGACGACGATGGGAAGAGTGCATTGATATATGCTGTAGAGGAGAATAATGTGGAATGTTGGCGTGCTCTGATAGACCATGGTGCTGACGTTAATGTCAGAAACGACGTTCGGAAGACTGCATTGATATATGCTGTAGAGAAGAATAATGTGGAATGTTGTCGTGCTCTGATAGACCATGGTGCTGACGTTAATGCCAGTGACAAGAATGAGAAGACGACATTAATGTATGCTGTTGAGCTGAATGATGTAGAATGTTGTCGTGCTCTGATAGACCATGGTGCTGACGTTAATGCCAGAGACTACTTTGGGAAGACTGCATTGACATATGCTGTAGAGAAGAATAATGTGGAATGTTGGCGTGCTCTGATAGACCATGGTGCTGACGTTAATGCCAGTGACGACGATGGGAAGAGTGCATTGATGTATGCTGTAGAGAATATTGATGATGTGGAATGCTGTCGTGCTCTGATAGACCATGGAGTTGACGTTAATGCCAGTGGCGGATATGGGAAGACTGCATTGATGTATGCTGTAGAGAAGAATAATGTGGAATGTTGTCGTGCTCTGATAGACCATGGTGCTGACGTTAATGCCAGTGGCGGATATGGGAAGACTGCATTGATGTATGCTGTAGAGAAGAATAATGTGGAATGTTGTCGTGCTCTTATAGACCATGGTGCTGACGTTAATGCCAGTGGCGGATATGGGAAGACTTCATTGATGTATGATGTAGAGGAGAATAATGTGGAATGTTGTCGTGCTCTGATAGACCATGGTGCTGACGTTAATGCCAGTGGCAGATATGGGATGACTGCATTGATATATGCTGTAGAGGAGAATAATGTGGAATGTTGTCGTGCTCTGATAGACCATGGTGCTGATGTTAATGCCAGTGACCTCGATGGGAAGACTGCATTGATATATGCTGTAGAGAAGAATAATGTGGAATGTTGTCGTGCTCTGATAGACCATGGTGCTGACGTTAATGCCAGTGGCGGATATGGGATGACTGCATTGAAGTATGCTGTAGAGAGGAATAGTGTGGAATGTTGTCGTGCTCTGATAGACCATGGTGCTGACGTTAATGCCAGTGACCACGATGGGAAGAGTGCATTGATATATGCTGTAGAGAATATTGATAATGTGGAATGTTGTCGTGCTCTGATAGACCATGGTGCTGACGTTAATGCCAGTGGCGGATATGGGATGACTGCATTGATGTATGCTGTAGAGAGGAATAGTGTGAAATGTTGTCGTGCTCTGATAGACCATGGTGCTGACGTTAATGCCAGTGACCGCGATGGGAAGAGTGCATTGATGTATGCTGTAGGGAGGAATAGTGTTGAATGTTGGCGTGCTCTGATAGACCATGGTGCTGACGTTAATGCCAGTGACCACTATGGGAAGGCTGCATTGATGTATGCTGTAGAGAATATTGATAATGTGGAATGCTGTCGTGCTCTGATAGACCATGGTGCTGGCGTTGATGCCACTTGTAAAAATGGGAAGACTGTATTGATGATTGCTGTGGAGAAAAAGCATATGGATTGTTTCCATGCACTTGTAGATCATGGTGCCGATGTAAACGCTACTGATGTAGAGGGAAAGACAGTATTGTCTCTAATAAGTGGTTTCGCCAATAGAGATTGTATTGAAATATATTGCATTCTAAAATTAAATGATGCAAAGGATAATAATTTTGAAAGACTGATGTCACTGAACAAAAACGCATCGACCGACCAGCAAAACGTCGCAAGTCAACAATTAGATGAATCGAACAGCAGGTCAAAACTTTCTTTAAAACATCGAGCAAGGCATTCGATACATCTCACTCGAATAACAAGTAAAAGCGGTTACAAACACATAATCAAAGATTTGATCGACAATGGGCATTTACCATATTCGATGAACTCATTCATGCTGTTTGAAGATGACATTAGAGAGATGATGGAAGTTCTGACTGAACTCCATGGCCGACATGCAGAGGCAACCGAAGCTAAAGCTGTGTTAGGTATGTACAGGAACTTGATATTCATTAAATAATGACATTACCGGTCTTTCGTTTTGTTTAATTCCTGATAAAACAAGGGTTACCATAGGAACCTGATAAAATGCAAATTGACTGACATTTTGCTTCTGCATTGTCACAGTATGGCATCACACGAGTAAATTACAGAAGTGCTATTCCGTAATACACACGTTATGCCTTTTAATTGGACTATACGATGCAATTATTTTGGCATGACAAAATACGTATCTCGTATATCTCGTATATCAAATGCAATATCAATAGCCTGAAAAAATATTTGGATGTACTACATTTCAAAGATATTAGTGTTTTCCACTATTAGAAATAATTTCTTATTTTGTGTTTGCAACAAGTAAAATGAATTGTATAGTAGTCCACTAATTCTACTGTATTAATAAAGTTAATAAGGGAGGAATATTGAGTCCATTTTCCTTGTGGCTGGTTTATTTATGTTCTCAGATTTTTCGTTTTGTTATAATGATTTTGTAATTCTTTTTATTGGCACATGTGCATGTACATATTACTATTATAATTAATATAATATAATATGATATAATATAATAAGACAGAATATATAGCCTGCTAATTTTCCCGTTGATTGTCATACAAATACTTCGCTAGGTATGTAATACAATATGATATAATGTATAATATAATATCAGTATTACATTTTTCGATTAGTAGAAGAACGACAGTACGAAAAGGAAGTTCAACTGGCCAAAAAGTTCCGAGGAAGATCAATAGAGGAACATTTTCTTTCTGAGGAACTACTACAAAGAGAAAAGGAACACGAAAAGAAAGTTCAACTGGCCGAAACTCTGCGAGAAAGATCAATAGAGGAACATATTCCTTCTGGGGAACTACTACCAAGAGAAAAGGAACACGAAAAGGAAGTTCAACTGGCCGAAACTCGGCGAGAAAGATCACTAGAGGAACAAATTCCTTTTGAGGAACTACTACCAAGAGCAAAGAAACTACTTAGAAGGTATAATATTAACCACATCCAAATGACATAATCATACATTTTTCTCTTTTGACGATTATGAGTAAATGTCTATGTTTATTTAATAATTTACATCGTCGAATCATTCTGAGATATTTGTACAATTTTCTTCAAAATAAATAATTTTCGATTGTGTGATAAACTGTTGCATAATTTTCCTCAATATCGTTAACCTATTGATATTAACTTTCATTTAGGCGTCTAACATGAATGAAGAAGCTGGTGTACATGTACGTATGTAATTATAGTACGCGAATGGATTAGACTGTCTTATATGATAGCATCGTTTATTCCAGGATCCCCGAAGTTAAATTCTATGGGATGCGAGAAGATGGTTTCTACACAATCCACGTAGTTGATGGGCAAATAGATAAAACAGAACGTTTTATCAAGAAGCATATACCTGGATATAGGTTCAATTTTGTACCCTGGAGAAGAGAAGAACGAATTCAGCTTTTAGGATGTACAGGGGCGCCTCTCCATATCAGGGAAAAAGACGATCCCACATCGGAGTTCATAACCAAGCCATATGGAACTCTAGGTGGACTTGCCTCAAATGCAGTAAATGAAAATGTGTATGCGCTAACAGCTAGCCATGTTGTTACAGCGAAAAGAAATCCCTTGCTAAAACAGGACTTTATAACTTGGTTGAAGGATGATCAATCTGATATACGTTCCATAGGAAGGGAAGTTCCATACCAGATATCACTCAGACTTGATTGTGACGATTCCCTAGACAGTAGTGTTCTATCGGGTGATGACGACGACGACGATGTTAATGAAGTTTACGATGATGAAGAAGATCCTCAGAAACTACTAAGACTTGATCCTGACGATCCCCTAGACGTTGACGGTATTGGTCTTTCGGGTGAAGACGATGACGACGACAACGATGATGTTTATGACGATGAAGATCCCCAGATACCACTTGATCCTGACGATCTCCGAGATAGTTTTTCTTTTTCGGTTCACGGTGTTGATGCTGATGACGAAGACGAAGATCCCCAATATGACATTGCTTTGATCCAAATATATGATCAGCATCTAGACATAAAGCAACAATGTGAGCCTTGTTCTAAATGTTGCAGAAGTAAGCCAGGAAATAAGGAACTTTTTGATGCAAGATTGACAAAGTTGGGATCCATTCCTAGTGATACAAATGGCAAAATACTAAGTTTAGCATCTGGAGGTGAAATTGAAATTGATGATAAATGGGCATGGTGTCCTAATTTGGTTGTTATTCGCTCCGAAACAGATGATACTACCTTCAGTGAACCAGGAGATAGTGGAACAATAGTGCAAATTCAGAGTGGTTCCGGATCCATCCAAAGAGGTCACAGCCCAATATGCTTCATGATATTTGCTGGTTGGGAAAAAGGGAGTAGTCGCAACATATGGGGATGCCCGGTTTCTCTTGCGTTTAACTTGAATGATGCCTTGGATGAACTGAGGAAACAAATTGGAGATGAAAGTGGGTTTCAGTTGTCCTGCTGTAAATCCACAAACGTAGAGGCAATTGTGCACCAAAATAATAATCTAACAAAGAACGTGAAAGAATATGGGAAAAGACCAAAATCGCTTGAGGGAATTGAGAAATTTCTCGAAAAGACACTTAAGATATCCAATAGTTCTCTAACATCACAATCCCGGGATCACAATGAATGAAAAAAAATCCAACCAATACACGAGATTTATGAAACATGAACGTTTTTTGGAACTTTTCAATTCTGTTCTTGAATTATAGATATCCGACTTGCTTATGTACAGAACATAAAGAGGACACTTAAATCATTTACCAAATCGGGACATTTTTCTGATTCGATTTAAACCATACTATTTCAAATAGATGTCAGGTAAATTCATATTTTATAATTTTAGTACCTCGTGAAGTAGTAGGTAGCCTTCATGTTTAATGCCCAGGCCATTTCCAATTAATTGACAATAATTGATACCCAAATCGGCTTGTAATACACAATTGGGGCCTGGTTGATGCGGCATTGCCGTTTTCAGACGTGGACAATATTTTTGGATTGGTTTTACAGGTTTCATGTCATGGAGATAAGTGTCCCCTTCTATTAGACCCTGAGACCTCAGGCCCGTAGCCAGGGGGGGGGGTTCGCAGGGTTCGGGAAAATTCTTTCAAAATCATGCAGTTTTTCACCATTTTGAGCACTTCTCAAGTGATTTTAGCCATATTTGGGCCAAAATTGTCAAATGTGAACCCCCCTGGAAATTTTTGAAAACTGAACCCCCCCTTGGCAAATCCTGGCTACGGGCCTGGACCTGAACTATCAGTTATGGACATTTAACTGAAATGTCTTGTAATTAAGCCAATGGGACAAATGGGACATTTCACTTTAGGCATACTCATCCTACCAAACCACGGAAGGAGTGTCTATTGCATTTATGCTTTAAACTTGAGAATCATTACTTTATTCCCTAATATGTTTGCCATCAGGTTATGGCATTTTGTCATGGAAATGCTTTATTCCTGATCTAATGTCATGCTTTTTAATTATAAGATTTTGTAGTTACCTGCTACCTATCTTCGTAATATTCTTTGGGGCGAGTCATCATCATGCTATGATTCGCGCCCAAATCAAAGGTACCTGTACATGGTAAAAGTAAATGCTTTAAACTCAATTTCTAAAATTCACAAATAGTTTGAGGCATATAAGAAACTTGAACTTAATGTAAAATTAAAAAGGGGAATATGACATTTTTTAGTTTGGTCACAAAATTACAAAACCAATGATTAATTGGAATACGTCTGAACAATAGCAAATTGTGTGTATTTTATACGTTCTTGGTCTGTTTAGAAATCTTAAAAAACATGTTTTCATTCCGCGAATCATTCATATGCTTGGAAATTATTCTTATTCTCAGAGGACATTAAAACGTCGGCTCCTAGAACATTAAAACGTCCACTCCTTTTTTAGGACCACAACAGTAAATGTGTTTGTATAAGCGATCTGATTAGGAAGTAAATGTTCATTGTCATTTGGCATACCGATCACTCTCTGCAAAAACACTCATTAGATTTACAAAAAAATCCACAGTCGAAATTAATTTCCTAGTCTTTTTTATTAATTTAAAAATAATGCTCGATATTACAGGAAATGGAAGGGATACAAATTAGTACATTTTGGTCTCATAATTCTATGTCATATCTATTTTATTAAAGGTCCAACAGTTCTGACTCTTCTGGATTATCCTACTATTTATAATGTAATCTGGTCAAGAATTAAAAAATGATGGCACGTTCTGCTAACAACTTAGAGATTTCTGGATCTTAAATCTCCATCTTAATAATACATTTGATCACATATCTCATTTTTTTCAGAAGACAAAATTAGGATCGCAAGAGAAATACTATCATGCCATTTGAAATACTGTCATGCTGTTTAAAATACTGTCATGCTATTTGAAATACTGTCATGCTTTTGAAATACTGTCATGCTATCATGCTTTTTGAAATACTATCATGCTATTTGAAATACTATCATGCTTTTTGAAATAATGTCATGCTTTTGAAATACTGTCATGCTTTTTGAAAACATTGACACTCTCTGTCCATTTTGATTCCTAAATGATCACAAGCACAATTCTAAAAGTGCAAAGATATAAATGTAAATGTTTTCAAAAATCATAATGAATTATGTGATATGAATCCCAGCCTAAGCAAATAAAACACTTGTCATTGATGATGTATTGTTCTTCATTGATAGTTCCGAATGACTCTACGGCTGGTGTACGGCGGCCGTAGCTTCAAAAAATCGATATAGAAAATATACATAGTACTGCTTATCCCTGTAAATTTTATGCTGCATATCTCTCGATTTTGGGAAGCTACGGCTGTTTTACGGTTGCCGTAGATTAAAAGTGACTAAGGCATGCTTCCTCGTCCTGTAATTGCATAAGTTAAACTAGGAACTAAAATGGTCTTAATACAAGTATCGCATTATTCATATACGAACGAATTGAGTAACTTCATTATAAGTGACACAAAGTGTAGGGCCTTGACTAATTGAGTAACCCAAATGAGTAACTTAAATAAACAAGTAGATCAATGATTCAGATGAGTGATGGAAATTAACTCAAATTAGTAAAATGTGCGTACCAATATTGAGTAAATTTAATAACTCGAATGAGTAAATGAATGATTCCTCACATGTATTTGAGTGATTCAAATAAGTAAATTGAGTAACTAGGCCTAAATGAGTGGCCCCTACGCCTGAGTGACTTGGATGAGTCAATGGGTTACTTATCAAGAAAATGGGCCTTAAATTTTCAAATTTTGGACCCAATTTTTTGTTTTAGGGGCTCAAAACGTGTTTTTTTCAGATTTGCCCCCCCTTGTATTTATGTTTATTCTCTCCATACAAATATGTAATAAGTTACATAAATTAATGAAAACATTTGTAACATACAGCTACAATAATAAAAAAGAAAATGTTTATGTACAACTGATCCTTGTTATTGACGGACGTCAGGCTACACGCGTTGACACCGTCAGTTTACAACGTGCATGATTGTTACATTTTAACAATTTTTTTCACAACCTAAACGTGAACGGAAAATATTGAGCGATGCTTTTGTATGGGCGATTGGTCAAACGTATAGGTTGGCGTTTCGATTTCATAGCTTAAACTCCCTAGCTAATGACTTTAAGACACTATCCGGCTTGCCACAAATGTCCTAATTATCGTTTAAAAGGAGGACATCCTTTTAAAGTTTTCTCATTTTTATCATACCAAACCAACTATGTCCCGGCCTGACGTGCCAGTCAGAGGGCCGGTCTCATCTAAGACCTAGTTCACAATTTGATAAGGAAAATAACCCAGTTTAAGAACATACAGATTGTGAGCAAGTTTGAGTCAATTAACAGCAAGAGTGGCAAATTGAGGTGCAGCGGCATATGAAGACAGCAAATCCTTTTGTTGCATAATCACCACCTTATAACAACACGTCAAAGTGGAAATTGGGGGTCCAGGTTCAGTCATATTTAACGCCAGGACACTCCCCCCGGACATCCCCTCCACACATAGACGTCCCCCTACACGTCAGTGCAATTTTACGACATGATACACTTTATATAGAACCTTTTTTCCAATCAATGTCTGAGTATCAGGGAGGTGCAATCAATGTCTGAGTATCAGGGAGGTGGGGGGGGGGGGGCGTAAGCGAAGCCTCATCTAACAACCTCATCGTGCATGCTGATGGATTTCTGACAATGAAGAGTAATAGGTGATAGTTTCATTGACATCTATACTAAATAGTTATATATATAACTTTTATTGACATATTGTATCATAACATGATTACATTAGTCATAAACTACTCACTAAAACTACTATCTACTACTAAACTACTTACTAAAACTACATCTTTATAAAAATATACATGATTTGATATGTTTACAGAAAGCATACAAGAAAGGCAAAATAATTTTAAGTGTGATGCACAAATTTTGCTGATTATTCTAAATTGTTAAATGAATGGTATATTTTACCAAGATGTCGTTGGAGATGATATTATCATTAGAAATTATATTTATAAATAAATCGTTACTATTCAAGTCAAATGTTGGTAATATTTCAGGAATTTTACTGAAAAATATTTGCCTGTGTTGAGAATGCTTTGTACAATTTATGATAAAATGAAATTCATCCTCCACACATTTACACATATTACACAACCTT